AGCATGGAATATCCTAGCCAGGAGTCTGTTAAGTGAGACTCTCACTGAGGATTCTTCAAAATCGACAGGATAATTCCAGTTAGAAGGGCACCACGAAGTAATAGGACCCATTAATTGAATGAAAATAATGGCTCATCTAATAATTGCTTATGCTAGCTTTTGCAAAGCATCCCTCACCAAGGATTCCTCAAGGGATAATAGAGTAGCTCTTATATGAGGAAGACCAAAATTGTCCAACCCGTAGAAGGAGCTTTAGTTAAAGAACCTAAAAAGGTGACCCGACGTGGTTTTTTCTTAATGTGGGTATGAAGGCACTCTGCCTAGGCATAGATCAACTATGTAAGTTGAGTATTGTAGCTGATACAACACGCCTTCTCAAGATGTGGCAATAATGATCGCTCACGCTATGGCAATCTAAGAGTTAGGGTTAGACCATGACCATGGACTACCCACAAACTACCCACAATAATGTCTAGCCTTTAAGCTAAACTTTATCCATAAAAGGATCTTATCTACATTAGTTCAAAGCGAGTAGGACAAAAATTTATTCCACATTCATAAGGATGAACAAGATGTGTATATAAACCATACTTATGGCGAGTGAGAGTAGTAGTCTTCTGACCCTGCATAGAGCAGATCAACAGAAGATAGGGTAAGAGAAAGGTGAGGCTTCTCTTATATAGATTAATGGTTACACTAGGTATAAGTCGCTCGTAGGACTTTCACTTTACCCAAAATGCGAGAAAACGATCAAATTAAGAGAAATACAAGGCTTCTCTTACATGAAACTGTTGTAAACTATGAGTGATCATTTAACAGGCGCAAGGTGATCACCATAAGCAGTTCGCTTAAAGAAGAGACAGCTGAAACGCACATTCGTTATTGCTCCAAAAATTGGATTAAAAAGTGCATTTTCTTTGAAAAGAAATTTTCTTCATAAAATACAATGAGCACATCAAAAAGATTTAAGCAAAGTATCTCTTCAATTATCGCCTTTTGATAGGGGCATTAGATAAGATCAATTTACATCAACCAACAATGAAGGGTAGCTCAAATTTTAAATGAAGGGCTTATGGACCTTGGGGGTCAACGTGCGAGGTGTAGAAGAGATTAGTGAACCCCATGCGAAAGGTAACTCCAAGATTGAGGAAGGATTGTCAGACCCGAGGGTCAACACACGAATTGTAAAAACACGTAAGTAAGGGATATCTCACAAAGAGGGCTAGCCTTTCTTCCAAAAGAGGGGTCGTCGGTCTCGAAGGGTTGACTCGTAAACCGTAATGATAGTGGGTGAAGCACCCACGAGATGGCAAGCCATTATTCCAATAGAAGTGCCGCCGGACCTGGATTTTGACACGTAAAGCGTAATGATAGTGGGTGAAGAGCTCATGAGATGGAAAGCCATTTTTTCGAAGGAAGGGCTGTCGGACCCCTAGGGTAAGGGTCATCCTAAAAATAAAATTTTGCATCATGTATGAACATTTTAATTTGATGGTTATCTAATCCATAAGGTAAAATGTTATTAACTAAGTAGTTAACTATATCAACATACCACAAAAATTTTAATTTATTAATTGCATATAATTCTTCATTAGGAAAATTTTCATTAATTTTGTCATTAAAGTTAACCTTACTTTCATGTTCAAGCCTTGAAAAATGATCAACTATCTGATTATCACAACCCTTCCCATCCACAACTTGAAAATCAAATTCTTGCATCAAAAGGACCCATCAAATTAACTATGGTTTTGTATCCTTCTTCATCATTAAATATTTTATAGCAGATTGATCAGTAAGGTCAAAATTTATCAAAAGCATATAGTAATAACATAATTCCTCCATCAACCATATGTAGTAATAACTTGATTTTTTATTGGATCTACTTCAATGCCTTTCTCTGAAATCTAAGTCCTAACACAATTCCTCCTGCAACCATAAATTGACATTTTTCCTAATTAAGAATATGGTTTTTTCTTTACAGCATTTTAGAGGTTCAAACAATTTAGAAATCATCCATAAGAACTTCATTTTCTTTCTCAATTAAATCACATAAAGTTGACATCATACATCTTTGAAATGTTACAGGTGTATTACATAATCCAAATGACATCCTCCTAAAAGCAAAAGTTCCATATGGACTTGTAAATGTTGTATTCTTTTGAGCCTCAGGAGCTATGGGTATTTGGTGGTATCCAGAATATCCATCCAATAAGAATAAATTGCGGTGCCCTACAAGTTTATCCAACATTCGGTCCAGAAAAGGTAAAAGAAAGTGATTTTTCCTAGTGACAATGTTCAATTTTCTATATTCAATACACAATCGTCATTTAGTAACTTTTCTTGTTTAAATTAATTCATTCTTTTCATTTACAATTACGGTTACTCCCTTGTTCTTAGGAACACAATGAATAAGACTAACCCATGAACTGTCTGAAATAGGACAAATAAATCCATCATCTAACCGCTTTAAAATTTCTTTCTTAACAACTTCTTTCATTATAAGATTCAATCTCCTTTGAGGATATGATTATCTTTCATTAAATTTATGTGCATACAGATTGAAGGGCTAATTCCTTTAATATTAGCTAATGTCCATCCAAAGGCATTCCTATGATTTTTCAATGTCTCCTTCTTCTTGGTCTGCAGTCAAATCTGAGGATATAATAACTAGTAATGCAGATGAGTTCCCTAAAAATGCATACTTTAAATGAGTAGGGAGAACCTTTATCTCGTGTTCAGAGGGTTTTTTAATAGAAGGAATCAGAGGCTTACTATTTTTAGTAGTATGTAAGATTTCATAGTTTTCCTGAACACAATTTGAATTCTCAGTGTTTATCTTATTTGATTTATCTTTAAAATCACTTTCAATTTCACTTTGAGTTCTTTTTGATCTGATATGACTTATCTTTTTAGATCTGATATGACTTTACATCCTTCTTGGTATTGCTTAGCAATCATATAATCAATAATGTCTATTCTGTTACATTTAACATCTTTTCCTTTATCAAGAAACTTTATTAATATAAGCACATTAAATATAACTTCTTGGTCATTAACTCTCAAGGTTAATTCTCCTTTTCGTACATCTACTATTGTACATCTGGTAACAAGAAAAGGTTTTAACAAAATGAGAAGAATTTCTTTGTAATGAGCTTCTTTCATATCTAACATAATAAAATCAACAAGAAAGATGAATTTATCTACTTTAACCAACACATCTTCTGTAACGACCTTAGGATAAGTAAATAGATCGATGAACTAAATGTAGGGTTACAGTAGTGGGAGATATCTCTCCTAAATCTAACCTTCTAAATATGAAAAATGGCATAGGATTAATGCTTGTTCCTAGATCACAAAATGCTTTTCAAAAAAATATTTCTTCAACTGACCAAGGTATGGGGAAACTATCAAAATCTTTAAGTTTTTGTGGAAGCTTCTTTTGAATTATTTCACTAAAAATTTCCCTAAGTGTAACTACCTCATAATCATCAAACTTCCTTTTTTATTTAAAACTTCTTTCATAAATTTGACATAACTTGGAATCTGCTCCCAAGCTTTTTTAAAAGGAATATTATTTGTGAGCTTCTTAAATATCTCAAAAAATCTTAAAATGTTTTTATCCAACTTTTTGCTGCCTATGTTTTTGAGGAAAATGAGGTGGTGGTCTTTCTAAATTAGTCTTAGTTAGAGAGACAGACAATTCTACTTCTTTAGGAATAGGTTCCTTAGTTTTTTTAATTTCGGAATTTTATCTCTCAACTTAAATCCCTTTTTTAACTGCAACATTTAATTCTTTTCCACTCCTTAGTTGGACAACTTTAATTTGTTATTTTCTTTATTTTTAACTTTAGGATTGATCTCAACATTAGTAGGAAGTTTTCCCTGAGGCCTATTGCTAATTACGTTAGCAATTTGTCTCAGTTGATTCTTAATGTTTCTAGTAACAACACTTTGACTTTGTAATTGATTACCCATTTGGAACACCACTTATTCTATAGACAACTTCTTCTCCTTAACTTTTTGGTTACAGCTAAATCTAAGAGGATAAGTATGTCTACAATTAGAGTTACCCTAGTTTTTCCAATTTCCCAATGGGTTTATTTGATTGTTCCACCATTGTTGACTTCCACCACTATAATTGTTATTCTAGTTAAAATTAGGATGGTTTTTCCAACCTGGCCTACAATATTTAGAATATAGGTTATTGTGTCAATTTTTAGAATTTATAGTTTCTAATAAAGTTTGAGAATCAATCATTTGTCCTAATGAATTTTCTTCAATCACATGGGGTGTTTGAGAAAAATTCATTCCAATTTGGTCTTTTTTTAGGTAATGCGACAACTTGAGATGCAGATATTGAAATAGAATTATTATCATTAATAATGGCTAATTTTTTTGGATTTACCTTAGCCATCTGTTCAAATTAATGAATAATCTTCATCAAATGGTTTAGACATCAATGAACCTACAACAACAACATCTATGATTGATCTAAGGGAACTTTCTAACCCATTATAAAATGTTTTAATGATTAACATGTCTGGTGAAGCAAGATGTGGACACTTTCTAAGGAGTTCCTTAAATCATTCTCAAGGTTCATATATTGACTTTCCTTCATACTGAGTAAAAGAATTAATATCATTTCTAAGTTTAGCAGTTTTTGAAGGAGGAAAGTACTTAGCAAAAATTTTTGGTGCTAAATCCCCCAAAGTTCTAATAGATCTAGGTGCTAATAAATTTAAACACATCTTAGCTTTACCCCTTGATAAAAAAGGAAAAATTTTAAATATGATTGCATCGTTGATATGCCATCATATTTAAATGTAGCACACAGTTCTGAAAAACTTGCTAAATGTAAATTTGGATTCTCAGATGGTGTCCCCTAAACTGATTGATTTGTATTATTTGTATAATTGCATGTTTAAGTTGGCAAATATTGCAGAAATCTTCACCCCACCCAAATCTCAGTGGGTGTGGGGGATTCTCCAATCTGGAAAAGGATGTTACAAGTTAGACAGGATGCTGAACAGTTGTTTGTCTGGGAACTTGGTGAGGGCTTGGTTAACATCTGGTGGGATAATTGGTCATTGGATGGTTGCCTTATTCAGGACCAGTTTGTCCCAGCTGCCCCTATGTTTGTGAAAGATATCTGGGCTTTTGGCAAGTGGAACCTTGCTCCTATCATTCCTTTCTGTAGCCCATCTCAATTAAGCAGTATTCAGAAGCTTACTATCAAACCTGGGGTGAAAGACAAAATTGTGGTTAGAAAGAACCCTATCCCTTCTCAACAACCCCATCTGGTACACTGGGGTCACACCATCTGGAATAATTTCCTCACCCCATCCATGTCCTTCTTCATTTGGAGACTTTTCTCAAAGATGATTCCCACGGATGACATCCTAAAGTTGAAGGGTTTGAGGGGTCCTTCTAGATGTTTTTTCTGCTTGGCTCAAGAGGAAACAATTTCCCATCTGTTCTTTGAGTGTCATTGGGTACAGGAGGTTTGGTCATTTGTGATTGGTAAACTTAGAATCCCAACCTTGCACCTCACATGGAAGATGTTCTTTACTAGCTGGGCTGATTGGAGGGGTGCTGAACTCCAGGACATCCCCAATATTGTGGCATGGTTTGTGTGGATGGCAAGGAACCAGGCAAAGCATGATAGCTCCCTTATTGATCCTAAGAGGGTGGGTCTAAATTGTATTGCTTTTATTCAAAAACTGATCAACTTTAAAAAGTACAAGACTGTGTTGGAGATTGTTCCTGTTCTCAAGCCTCAAACTTCCAAAGTTGTGACTATCTGCTAGACTCCCCCAAAGCTTGGTTGGATCAAAATTAACAAGAATGCCAGCCATAAATCCCAGTCTGCAGGCATTGGTGGGGTTTTTAGGAACCATGAGGGGAAATGCATCTTATATTTCCAATCTCCAATCAAGGCTGTTGACTCACTTGAGGCAGAATGTCAAGCAGTTTTCTGGGCCCTCAACTTAGCCAGATCTTGCTTGTTTGATCAATTATGGGTTGAATCTGACTCCTTGCAACTTATTAACATCCTCCATGGGATCTCAAAAACTCCTTGGAATTTAATCTGCTGGATGTCTGGTATTCATCAACTGCTAAAAGTTTGCTCCCTAAAGTTTTCTCACATTCACAGAGAAGGAAACAGACCAGCCAACTGGCTAGCTAGGAGGGGACTGTTTACAGAAGTTCCACTAGTTAGTAGAAGAATTCCCCCCCCACTGGACTTCCTTTTATCCAGTGATCGTTTGCCTATCCCTTATCTTAGAAAGTATGTGTAATAGGTTAGAGAGGAGCTTACCTTTATAAAAGCCCTCTCCTGTCACCTTCCTTCTCTTTGTATTTGTCTACTTTTTAATGAATTGGAGCTATGCTCCTTAGCATGTTTAGGTTTAAATGAGTTAGCCACTACAGCAGGGGTTTGAATACTTAAAAGAATTTAATCTGTTGCAAGGTTTGCATAATCCCTTAAAGGTCTTTGTAAATTATGATGTTTTTTTTAGTATTTATAATCTCAATTTTATTTTGTGACATGTTTGCCATTGCTAAAGATGTGGGCACTCAAATCTTGGTGGAGTGCCATGCTCATAGTGTGCAACAGCTTGGACCTGCTCAACAATTTACAGATCACCATACCCCCCCTGGGTGAGTTCTCCATTGAAGCTCCAATAATTGACCACATGGGACAAACATTGACAAATGAATTGTACATTAAAAAATCTAAGAAGAAGAATGAATGAATGCTTGAACTCAAGACTTTATAGGATGACAATTTGATCATTTTGGGCTGCAAGCCACATAACACTATGACAATGGACTCCCTCCTTAGAACCGGAGGGTAGGAAGAGAGAAAAACCTACCCATCATGATTAACCCCCACTTTCCCTCTGTGTGTTTTACCTTGTCTTGCTGACTTGTCACCCTCCCTTTATATCACGCTCAAGTTTTCTAATTGCTCAGTGGTAGTGTTATCCATTGTTTTACTCACAGTTTTCTTCTCGGCTTTACTCTCAAGGCATTCTTTATCGTATCCATCATGGTTTTTCTGGTTTATTCTACGTTTTTGTGTTATCGGTGGTTGTACTCTGTCTTGTTGAACGGGATTATTGATGGCTTTATTCCGTGCTCTACAATTGATATTTTTTTAGTTACCGATGGTTTTACTCCTGAATTTACTCTCTATGTTTCGTTGTATTTTGGCGTTCTGAGGGTGTTATTTGTAGTTGATATCTTGTGTTATCGGCTTACTGTTTGGTGTTATCCCGTTATGCAGGGTAATTCTTTGAATTATTGTTGGTTGTATCCCATGTTCGAGCGGTGTTATTCCTGATGTCATAACACAACACATTTTTGGTGTTCAGGTGGTGTTACTCCATGGTTATTTAACCCGCGTGGTATTTCTGTGCGTTCCTGTGGTCCTTTGTGTCATTCCTCGGTAATTTCTCCACTCCACGTACAAAGCCATCTCCCCATATGACCTCTGATTACTACATTTTGGAATGCTTTTTTTGTTATTATTTAGGAGTATACTTGTACATTTTTGTTATTTTTTTTGGTGTAATGTATATCTTATGCATTGGTCTATTGCGCCCACTCACTAAAAACATTGTATTTTTCTTTAATATCAATGAAATTGGCTTACAATAAATATATAGAGTGTGAAAAATAAAAAAATATTTATATATATATATATATATATATATATATATATATATTAAGTAAGGAGCCAAGCTCCAATTCATTAAAATTAAAGTAAACCTGTTACAAAGAGAAAGGAAAAGAAAGAGAGCCTATAAAAGGAGGCAACCTCTCAAAACAACAAAAAGGAGCTATATAATATAAGGAAGAGGTAACAAATCATTGGATAAGAGGAAATAAAGTGGGGGAGGGATCCTTCTGCTCACCATAGATTCTTCAGTATAAAGACCCCTTGTAGCTAGCCAATTGGAGGGTATATTACCTTCTCTGTGGATATGGGAGAACTTTATAGTGTAGTTCTTCAGCAATTGATGAATCCCAAAAATCCAGCTTATTAAGTTCCAAGGGATGTTATAGGAGCCCTTGATAATATTAATAAGCATCAAAGAGTCAGATTCAACCCATAGCTGGTTGAAGGGGCAAGATCTAGCTAAGTTAAGGGCCCAAAAAATAGCCTGACATTCAGCTTCAAGTGGATCCAAAGCTTTAACAAGAGAATGGAAGAACAAGATGCACCTCCCCTCATGATTCCTGAAGACACCACCAATACCAGCAGATTGAGATTTATAGCTACCATCAGTGTTAACTTTTATCCATCCATACTTTGGTAGAGACCAGCAAATTTTGAAGACTTTAGTAATGGGAGGAATAGAAGATGGGCTCAGCTCCAACACAGCTTCAAAACCTTTAAATTTAATCAGTTTTTGTATAAAGGCAATACAATTTAGACCCACCTTAATTGGCTTAATAGGAGAGGTTTCATACTTCAAATGGTTTCTAACCATCCAAAAAAACTAAGCCACAATGTTGGGGATGTCTTGTAGATTGATTCCCCTCCACTCTGACCAGCAATTATATAATACCTCCCATGATAGATTCATAGTTGGGACTTTAAATTTTCCAATCACAATAGACCAAACTTCCTGCACCCAGGGGCAGGCAAAAAATAGATGGGCAATTGTTTCCTCCTCAGTAAGACAGAAAAAACATCTAGAGGGACCCCTTAGGCCCTTCAATTTCAATATATCGTC